ACGTTTGGTGCTGTGTTATTTTTAGCTTGTTACGAGTTGTATGATTGAGGCATGATTGGGATAGTGAGTGGATCTTATGGTTGTTTTGTGGACTGTGTGAGATTGTGTTTGAGGTTTGGACCTGAAGACAGGAATGACATATGTGTTGAGACCGGATCGATGATGAGAATTGCCTGGCGAACCATTTCTCCTGAATCAGTCCATCTTTAGCACGATGTCAGGTCAAAGGTCAATGATTGTATCATTTTGTTAGGGACAGTGAAAGCATGGTAATGCGCGTTGTGTCGGTGTGTCAGTGTGGATTCGGGTGGTTAGTCTCGAGTGACTAGGTGTGTTAGGTAGGACTAAGTGTCCGATGAAGGTTTGTGGTGCGACCACTTGATTATCAATGATCATGTTTTAAGGATTCGTGTCTTGAATACAGGATAGTGCGCTTTACTGATTTGGTGACTCGTGATTGTATAGTTGTTGGGAGATCTGTGGTTTAGTCATCTTGAAGTTGTTTAGTATGATGATTGTCGTATAGTGCGGTTAGTAGTCACTGATGCGGTTATGCGATGGTGTAAGTAGGCGATAGATAGCAGCCAGTGCTTGGTCTGATAGAGATCTGTGGATTTGGGTTTGAGCTTGGTTATGAGATAGACAAGGTTCCTTGTCTGAAGTTTTGTGTGTCTTTTAAAGGATGAGTTGAGATCGGATGTTGTCATGTTTAGGGGTCTTGTGACCGTTCTTCTTTCGGGTTCCGAAGCTTTGCGTAGCGGTGTAAAGTGGACCAGTGTCGGTTTTGAGTCGGGTATAGAATCCAGTTGGTTTGTGTTATGATGTTGTTAGTGATGACTACCCTCATAGGGTGATGAGCATTGCGTTTTGGTGGCAGTGGTGTGCGATTGCCTGTTGACGTCTGGTGCCTAAGCAATAAGGTTGGTGACCTCGTAGTTTTGGGGATTTTGTGAACTGTTTCTCGGAAGGTGTGTAGCTGTGGGCCTCCTTCCTTAAGGAGAGTAGATTTCGAGGACGAAATCTCTTTAAGGAGGGTAGATTGTAATGATCCTCATTTTTACAATTTTTTATTTTCTGGGATTTTTTTCGATTTCGGGTTTATTTCTGTTTTGTCTCATTTTACGTGCCAGGCACCGTAAGGTGTGCCGGATGGGTTCCGAGAGTTAGTTGGGGCATTTCCTTAAGTTTATGACTCTTGTAAATGCATTAGTTGCCATTTCGGCATTTTTTTCGTTTTTCGGACCTGGAGGTTCGAAGTGGGACTCGCTACCAGAGTGTTGAGCACGGAGATTATTTTTCGGAATCATTGCATTTCATGCATTATTATTTTGATGCTCATTTACTTGGTTGTATGATTAATCATGTGGTTGTGGTGTGTTAAGTGTATATATATATATATATATATAAAGAAAAAAGAAAGATTTTTTATTTTATTTTTTATTATGGGACCCACTAATGACTTTTAGTCATTATAATGACCAAATGGTCACTACAGACCATTCATTTCTTCTCACGGCAGTTCTCTCCTTCTCTATATCTCCATCTTTTTCTTTTTCTTTTTTTCTTTTTTTTTTCTTTTTCTACTCCATACAAAAGCTTGAATCCACTCTCCACCTTTGGGAATTTGATCTTGCTACTTAAGGCAAAGTTGATGAGCGCATCGAGACCTTCATTGTGATCGGAGCAAAGTGTTGTTTGGCCACCATTTGGGATTTCAAATTTTGGGTTCAAATTGGTGCGAATTGCTATATTGTGATGATGTGTATTTAGATGATGAATTTGTATACTTTTCATGTTGGTTATGTTGGATTTGTTCTATGAGAGCATGCTGATTTTTATTTATTTATTTATTTTATTTTATTTTATAGAATTCCTCTAAAAACATGCTATATTATTGTAGTTGATTACTCATGATGGAAGGTTATAAATTGTCATGGTTTGTATGGCATGAAGCATTCGTGCATTTCATTGGGAATGAAAGGGAATAATTGTTTTATAAGCAAATGAAATTAATTTTAGGAAAAATTATTTTGAAAAGTGTTTGCGAAAAACCCGGACGCCTAAGAGTTGCCTAGTGGTCCATGGCGTTAGTGTGGTATAGAGAGGTTAGGGAGAGACCCTAGCGAGGTTGAGCTACCTAGGCCCGCAACGCCTTAGAGTTGCCATGTGGTCGGGGATAGTTAGCCAATCCCCGTCTCTTGACGCCATGGAGTTGCTATGGGTCGGACTCCACTAATAGTTTGAAACTGTGAAACGGAATTGTTTCGGAAACGGGGAGCGACATTGGCATGCCATTGCATTACATTGGCATGCATTGTATATATATGGTTGGATGACATATTTTGTAGTTGTTGATGATATTGTTGTCGTTGTAGTGTTTTTTCCCCCCGATTGACATGATCCTGTTTACTTTTACCCTATGCTTTGTGTGGATTTACGGGGTCATTAAGAGGTGTGTTTTAGACACTTCTTATTGAGCGGCTAGCTCACCCCATCATATTATTACATTTTTCAGGTCACGGGAAGGAAATGGCGGACGACGCTCCTCCACAAGTTTGAATGGGTTAGTGGACTGTTTTGACATCTTTTATATTTGTGATCTCATTTTTTTTTTGTTTAAGCTTTGGGGTGACACGTATATTATGTATCGACCTTGGAATTGACCATAGTACCATTAGACGACCTCGGGTTTGGGTAAGGACCCGGTTAGCTATTCGGATCTTCGGGTTCGGGTCATTACATTTGGAATGCCTTGAATATATGTAACACCTTAGTTATATTCATATATATACATATATATATTTAAAAATAACGGATTTTACTGTGACTGCTCTCAAACTTGAACCATTGTCCTCATGCTTATTGCATTCAGCAGTGTAACAATGATCATCTAAAAAAGGAACCTTCAAGTGCTCTAACTGCAAATGGAAAACATATATATGTTTGTCCCGGATATCAAAGCAATTCATTTTGAATATGATCATCTAAAAAAGGAACCTTCAAGTGCTCTAACTGCAAATGGAAAACATATATATGTTTGTCCCGGATATCAAAGGAATTCATTTTGAATCTAGTTATTTAAAAAGGATTTAAGCTTTTGCAATCCCGAGTTCATAAAAAATGAGAATTTGTACAAGTAACACACAAATTGGCTAGTAGAACTGAGACTTTCTGATATATGCAGGTGAGCGATGAGAATGCCCACTAGTTGGAGAAAGTCATGAAGCAAACTTATGAGATGGCAGAAGAGTGTGTCAACACAAATTATTATGGAACCAAAGGAGTAACTGAAGCACTTCTTCCTCTCCTGCAACTCTCCAATTCAGCAAGAATAGTGAATGTTTCCTCATATTATGGGCAACTAAGAGTAAGCAGACACACCAGTTTCATGCATGATTAGCTTGTCTGGTGAAGGAAGAGAAAAAGACAATAAGCTCTAATTCTTCTCTCTTTTTTATTTTTTGTTTTGTTTTGTTTCAGTTTATCAACAACGAGAAGGTCAAAGAAGAGTTGCAAAATGTCGAGAGCTTAACAGAAGAGAAAATATACGAGGTTTTGCGGCGGTTTCTAATGGATTTCAAGGAGAATAAGTTGCAGGCTAATGGGTGGCCCCTTAAGTGTCTGCCTATAAAGTTTCCAAAGCTGCCATAAATGCCTACACTAGACTTATAGCAAGGAAATTTCCTTATTTTCGTGTAAATTGTGTTCATCCTGGATATGTCAGAACAGAGATAAATGGTAACATGGGACACTCGACTCCAGAGGAAGGTGCTAGAGCACCTGTAATACTGGCTTTGTTGCCTGATAATGGTCCTTCTGGCTTCTGCTACGATCAGATGCACCCACTCATCATGTTCTGATATAAAAAATAAAGTCTAAAGTATCTGAGTTGGGGAAAGATTTCATATTCGCATAAATGTTATTGTCTAGTTATTCTTCTTGGTGCTATTTGAAGGGTTTGGAATAACAGAAGCAAGTACTCTGTATTAAATTTTATGTTTGAATTAGTTTTTGCATTAGGGATGCAACTTGGGTCGGCCAACTCAAATCTAACTTGATTTTTCACAGATTTGGATATCTATTTTTACAATTAGGGTTTGGTTTGGACTAAAAAGTTTCAAAGGGCTTGAGTTGAGATGTGAGCAATTCTAATTCAAATCTTAATTTATTTTTTATTTTAAACATACTAATCTTCAATTATGAAAAAGTTAATGTTGTTCATTTTTCAGTAATTATGCCTAGTAGTAGCTGATGTGTTTTTCAAGCACATGAAAGAATGACGAAGTAATTTGCAAAGTAAATGTGATACAAGATGTTTATATAATAATATAGGTACGTGGTAACCCGAATTAAACCACGAGTTGCAAGTTCGAACTAAAAAGTAGCAAGTTCAAACTAAAAAGTTTAAAGATGAGTTGAGTTCAGAATAGTTAGCTCGGATTAAATTAAGGCCGAACATCGCATATGATTGGTTAAACCCGAATTATATCTTTAACCCGCCTGATTGAGAGCCTCACGAATAATTATACTTGGTTGAGAAACCGAATAAAGGACTAGCCTGCATTTTTTTTATTTTTAATTTTTTTTGCAATAGCTGGCCTGCATTCTAAAAGTACCTTTAAATCTAAAAGTTAAAATAAAATAATGGACATGTCACTCCAACCCAGTATAAAAAAATTAAAAAAAAAAAGGTTGGCATCAGTATCACATGGGTGCTTAATCCCAAAGTAGAAAGTATGGACACTGAGATTAATCTACAATCTTTTTAATAGAACAGTGAGATCTGATCCGATTCAATAAGATACTGACTTTTCAGAGAAAATGCCAAACTACAGTAGGAAGTCCATTATTATTATTGTATATGGACAAACTCACCTCATGACAGCCTCACTGGTACCTAGGTTGAAGGCAGATTCTCTCACAAAGTGAACATCATTCAACATATCAACTTGGCAACAAACATTCAACTATCAACTCACAGCTCTAGTTTTTCATCAGAAATGGAAGAGACCACCAACAGTTCTACAGCAAAAAGGCATCTTCATCTCATGAATCTCTCATTTTATACAAATCATTCACACCCCTATTTTCATATGGCTTAATTTATATGTGTGTGTGTAAATGTTAAGTGGATCACTGTTATTCCAGGTATGCTGTGGTTACAGGAGCCAACAAAGGAATTGGACTAGAGATATGTCGACAGCTAGCATCTAATGGAGTTACAGTAATATTAACAGCCAGAGATGAGAAAAAGGGTGTCGAAGCTATTCACAATCTTAAACTTTCTGGACACTCAGATGTGTTTTTTCATCAACTTGATGTAAAAGATCCTGCCAGTATTGCTTCATTCGCGAACTACTTACAAACGCATTTCAAAAAACTCGATATCCTGGTGAGAAACAATATAAAGATATTCCTTGTGAATTCAGTGACTTTGGATTTTGTTATTATATCAAGCAGTGTGTACAATTCTACACACAAAACAGCTTACTACAATGTATTCAATTTGATGACATATAGATAGATAAAGAGGAGTTGAACAAAAGGACTGTGCTGTGTGTAATATAAGAATATTTGGATACCAAAATTATTGCTAATGTGCGCAAAATTAACTTCTATGCAGGTCAATAATGCAGGAATTAGTGGAGTTATTGTAACAGATCATGAAGCATTAAGAGTCTTCGTAGAAGGAGGGGGTATAGTAAGTATTGCAGCTTCCTGTTGTAGATATATCATATATCTATGCCCTATATTGATGGCGGTGTTTAAGGAGCAAGTAAATTTAGGGGAATTTTAAGTAAAACTCTCACTACATTGATCTAAGCAGCACAAGAGGATTGGAATTTGTGGCAATAAATTCATGAATATATATATCAAACAAAGAAATCCAGAATTTTTTTTTTTTTTGATAAGTAAAAATTTATTAAGAAAGTGCTTAGGGGAGCGAAACCCAAGAACAAAACAAAAGGCCAAGGAGCCCCTCAAACCTTCAAAGAGGCCAAAAAAAAAAACAGCAATCTCCTCAACAGATCTATAATCAACAAACACATTGTTCATCTTATAATAAGCCAAACCTTCATAAAAGACCAATATTCTACTATGTAGAGATGCAGTGAAAGAAATAAAAACTTTTTCATGATTTATACAAATAACTCTCATTAAGACTGGAATAAGAATTATTGTCCTCACCCACATTTGAACAAACATTCTAACAACAATTATCTAGCAGAAAAAAGTTCTTATTTTACAATGATTTTGTTCCAACAAATTAATTGGAACCTTAAAATACAAAAGCCTCAAAGGAATAACATATATATATATATATATATTTGTTTTGGATCTCAACGCAATTCAATTTGAATCTAGTCATTTAAAAAATTTAAGCTTTGAAATTCGAAGTTCATCAAAAAGGAAAATTCTAAAAGTTATTTATGGTTTGGCTAGCAGGATTGAGACTTTCTGATATATGCAGGTGAGCGATGAGAATGCCCACCTATCGGAGAGATTCATGAAGCAAACTTACGAAAGAGCAGAAGAGTGTCTCAAAACAAATTATTATGGAACCAAAGGAGTAACTGAAGCACTTCTTCCTGTCCTGCAACTCTCCAATTCAGCAAGAATAGTGAATGTCTCCTCCATTTGCGGACAACTAAGAGTAACTAAATACACTTTCTTGCTAAATTAGCATTTCAGTTGAAGGAATAGAAAAAGATGATAGGCTCTAATTCTTTCGTCTATCTCTCTCTTCTTGGTTTCAGTTTATCCCCAACGAGAAGGTCAAAGAAGATCTGCAAAACGTCGACAGCTTAACAGAAGATAAAATAGACAAGATTTTGCAGTGGTTTATAAGGGATTTCAAGGAGAATAAGTTGCAGGCAAATAGGTGGCCTCTTATAGCGCCGGCTTATAATATTTCCAAAGCTGCCATAAATGCCTATACGAGACTTGTTGCAAGGAAATTTACTGATTTCCGTGTAAATTGTGTTCATCCTGGATATGTCAAAACAGATATGAATGGTAGCATGGGAAACTTGACTCCCGAGGAAGGTGCTAGAGCTCCTGTAATGCTGGCTTTGTTGCCTGATGATAGTCCTTCTGGCTTCTACTATGATCAGATGCATGCATCCAGCTTCTGATAAAAATAGCCTGCAAGTATCTGAGTTCGGGTAACTTTTGTTGAATGATAGTCTTTTTATACTTCTTATTGCTATTTGAAGGGCTTAGAATAGTATGTGCAACTTTCTTTTAAATTCCAAGTTATAATTCATTTCTACATTTGTCTCTGCTATGTGTTACAGAAGCGCAAGAGAAAAATATATCCAGTGACTTGGATTGTCACAGAAACTAAATGATTCTTTTCCACAATTTCAGAGAAAAACCTTTACACAAATGCAAATCGTCAGATAAAGAGACTTCAATGCCAAACTTCTCCCAGCAATTGAAACATAACACTATTTTGAGAAACTAAACATGATTAACAACTAACAGAATTGAAACACCTAAACTACAAGATTTGATTTTCTTCTTGGAGAGACTTACGGAGATAGAATGATCCTTTTCAGACTTTAGATCGATATCTTGCAGCATTTCGCATGGCACAATATCCTACGAAGTAGATTATTTACTGATGCCGTGCACCAGAGAAAGTCGGGCCTAAAAATTGTGAGATATATTTTCGTAATTGGCAAATTTCGGTAACAAAATAAGGCCTAGTCGAGTTGTAATTTCAGTTACCATATCAGAATTAACATCGATGGTGGAATATTAAAGGTTGTTCAGAAAAAGAAAATACTGTTGATCATCGAAAAGGAAAGAACAACACATTAGGAAGTTGTTTCCCACTTAGGACACAAATACCTAAAAAGTATATTTTCAAGAGTTACCAAAAATAGGAAATCCAAATTCAAATTGGATTCTACCAAGTGGGAACCGGTACCTAAATTAGGAAACCGGTTCAAGAAGCTGAGATTGGAAGAATTCCATTCTGTCCTTTGGGAACTGGTACTAAGATTCTCCTACTGGTACCACTGCTATTTCACTTTATGGAAACTTAGTCCTGATTAGTTTTGTACTTCCTATTTGGTCTAGAAGTTTACCAAAAGTCCTATGCATGAAATTTCCTTTATTTTCAGAAGGAATAGGACTTTGAAAACTCTATATAAACCTTGATACGTATCTAGGTTTATTCATGGCTTTAGTACTACAACTTCATTATTCTTAAAAGCCTTAGGAAGATTAGTTTTGCAAAAAATTCAAGAGATTTCTCTATCATCTTTCTAAAACACATACACATAAACATATAGTGAGTTTAGAGTTGATACTGATCGTGATCATACAGTTGCATCTACGACGATCAGAGAATAGCAGATCTACTTCTACATCGAATTCAGATATTGAAGAATAGAAGTAAGAGCGATCACACTTTGAAAGGGTTGGAGCATTCGAGGAGTGTTGTCTGATCTACCTGCTACTCTACTCTTCTACAGATATCAAACATAAGCCTGAGGTCAAGTTGTTGTTGGACGGGGAGTCGCAAAGTCAGAGGATTGTCAGCAGTTGGTGTTTGGTAGAATGATAGGGTATGAGCCAGAGTCAAAGTCCAGTGTACTTTGTTTCAAATATAGTGGATCGGTTTACTTTGGACTGCATAGTCCACGAGGTAGTTGACGTATTCTATCAACTGGGGTTTCCTCGCTAAAAATCCTAATGTCATCTCTAACTTTATACTTTGCTTTATTTTATATGCATGTGATTAATTGTTTAATTACTAAAATAAAAAAAAGTTGGAAAACACAGACCTGTTTTTAAAAATACAAAACTTTCTAAATATTCCGCTGTGTACAACTCACAAGAATCAAAGGAAAAATCCCAACAAAATCAGAATTTAAGATTCAACAGGAAAGAGGCATGTATCGAAGTAAAAATCCCAAGAATATCAGAATTTAAGATTCCACAGAAAAGAGGCATGTATTCTGCAACTCCAGCCCTGAAAACATGATATTAAAGAAGAAAATAACAATGAGATTTTGAATTAAAGAGAGGTAATGGAGGAGAACATTGGAAAATGACGTTTACTTGCAAGAATCACAATCATTGCACTTGACGTGCTTGAAATTTTTGTAGATTTTCAGTCGTTGTTGGAATTAATTGGATGAAAGCTCAAGTCATAGTATCAGGCATTGACGGCAGGATAACCACATCTAAGAAATGAGTTGAAATCCGGAAAAGAAGAAAAGAGAGTTACATCCAACTTTCGTAACTTTGAATTTTTTTTTTTTTCAATAACAATATGACATAAATTACTTTAATGACTGATCTGTAAATTACTTAGCACTGATTATATATATGTGTGAACCCATTGAACTTCAATTAATGATATTATTTATATTAATTATAAAATAGGATTTGGCTATTGAATACAAAGAAAGAAACTAGACTTGATTCAAACATAAAAAGACAGGGAGAATAGAAGAGGAAGAGACACTAGAAATATTAAAGCAGTAAGAAAAAGTACAGCAACCAGCCTCAATGGGAGTGTTGCCAATTTGTATTGTTTGAGTCAGCAACAAAAAGGTGACGATAGTGTTGCCAATTTATATTGTTCACCTTATATTTTTTAGATAGGCTATTGCAATAATCAGATTTCACAAGACAACTTTTCAACTGCTTCCAGCTATAGGTATTGTTCAACTGGAAGAATGAAGCAAGATTAAGAATAACAAATATGATACTCTCAACCTCATATTTTAGACTGTTTTGTTTGGGGGAAAAACCCCTCATATTTTAGACTCTTAATTACTCTATAGAATTTTTTTTACCTGTTTTAGAAACCATGAATTGTAATCTTGAAGTCGATATTCCTTTTACCTAACCAGACAGATCAATGAAGATTCCCAATGTGATTTCTATTATAATATTCTATAATGTCTATAGCTCAGTTTTTGGTAAATCATGAAGATTCCAAATGCGATATTTCTGATGGGAAAGCAAGCAAATTATCAAGAGCGCACATGAATAAACAGGGAATAAGAGAGAGAGACGCTTCAATTTGTTCACTTAATATTTTGTCCCTCCCTTTTTATTCCAGTACAGCTCAAACTGGTTTCCAAAGTGTAATGCTGTCACATCAGTGTTCTTACAACAAATAAAATAAGGGGCATAATGATGATATCTGAAAAATCAGGCGATCTTACCTCAAACCAGCTACATTATGACCAGATCCATTATTTGTTACAATAAATGTAAAAGACAAAAAGAAAAAAAAAATATTTTAAAATTTATGCTTAAAGTAATATGCTGCAATTAATAAGATAAAAAAACAGGCACTGAAAAACAAAAAGAACAAAAGATAAACACAAGGCATCAAGTCTAAGAAAAAAACAAGGTATTCTCAGGACGTCCATTAAATAATTAATCCCATTATAATTTACATGGATATTGACGGCCTCAATGGTACTTGAGGTTGCAGGCATATTCTCACAAAGTGAACATCATTCAATATCAACCTGCAATAACATTTTAATATAAACTCACTGCTCTAGTTTTTTTTATCAGAAATGGAAGAGACCACCAACAGTTCAACAGCAAGGTGTCTTCGTCTCATGACCCTCGTTTTATGCAATATGTAAATACATATAATTCACACACCAATTTCATACGGCTTTATATATGTATGTAGGTATGTTCATATATATGTATATATATCTTTAGTGGATCACTGTTATTCCAGGTGTGCTGTGGTTACGGAAGCCAACAAAGAAATTGGACTAGAGATATGTCGTCAGCTAGCATCTAATGGAATTAGAGTAATATTAACTGCCAGAGATGAGAAGAAGGGTATTGAAGCTGTTGACAATCTTAAAGTTTCTGGGCACTCAGATGTGTTTTTTCATCGACTTGATATAAAAGATCCTGCCAGTATCGCTTCATTAGCAAAATATGTACAAACTCATTTCAGAAAACTTGATATCCTGGTGAGAAACTAGATATTCCTTGGGAATTAAGTGACTTGGCTTTTCTTATTATATCAAGTAATTAATACAAATTCACACACACAACAGCTTAGTATAATGTATTCAACTTGATAACATATAGACAGATGAACAGTTGAACAACGGGACTGTATAGTGTGTATAATAATATTTGGCTACCAAATTTATTGCTGATGTGTATCCTGTGCAAAATTAACTTTTATGCAGGTCAATAATGCAGGAATTGGAGTTACTATAACAGATTATGACGCATTTAGAGTCTTTATAGAAGGATAAGTATTGTAGCTTCCTGCTGTAGATAATTATCATATATTTATCCTATTTATTGGCAGCAAAATCTTGTGTTCAAGGAACAAGTAAAATGGCATTTTAAGTAAACTCTTAATACATAAATTTATGCAGTATAAGAGGATTGAAGTTTGAGATAATAAATTCATGAATTATATCAATCGAAGAAATACAGAATGATACAGATGCAAATTACTGATTCTCTCATGAATTCTTTGGCATAGAAGTTGGTTTGTGTGGTCATCCTCTAGGTCTAGAGTTTAAGGATTGGTGGTGAGAGAACTAAGCAAAGAAGATACAGATGCAAATTTTCCAGAATTATGCAACACACACATTGTTCATCTTATAATAAGTCAAACCTTCATGAAAGACCAATATTCTGCTATGTAGAGGTGCGGAGAAAGAGAAAAAAAAACTTTTTCATGATTTGTACAACTGTTCTTGGATTGGAATAGGAATTATTGTCCTCACCCATATTGCACCAAGCAGTCTAACAATAATTATCTAACAGAAAAAGTTCACATTTAACAAAGATTTTGTTCCAACAAAATGGTTGGAACCTTGAAATACATAAGCCTCAAAGGAAAAACATATATATTTGTTTTGGATCTCAATGTAATTCAATTTGAATCTGGTCATTTGAAAAAATTTAAGCTGATATTCTAAGTTCATCAAATACGAAAATTCTAAAAGTAATTCATGTTTTGGCTAGCAGGATTGAGACTTTCTGATATATGCAGGTGAGCGATGAGAATGCCCACCTATTGGAGAAATTAATAAAGGAAAATTATGAGAAAGCAGAAGAGTGTCTGAAAACAAATTATTAACGAACCAAAGGAGTAACTGAAGCACTTCTTCCAGTCCTACAACTCTCCAATTCAGCAAGAATAGTGAATGTCTCCTCCATTTACGGACAACTAAGTGTAACTAAA